AAGCAGGCTTTCCTGAGGAACCAAATTAGAATCGTGATGGCCGACATTCGCGTCGTCAATTGCTGCAATTTCATCACGAGCGTTGGATGTTGGTGTGATGATTGCTCGACCATCTGACGCGCTGACCCGGGTGTTGGGAAGAGTGTTCAACTGTGCGCTCCACGCCGGGCCAATAACTCCGCCTAGGCCAAGTCTCAGCACGGAGTATTGAATGGGAAGATCATCGCACTTGTTAATAGACTTTGGGCCAGTAAATCATGACTCAAGCAGCTCCCGGCTCACGCGGTTGTTACCTCTTGTGAGAATTCCGGCCACACATTCAAATAAGGGATGAAATTGCAGCAATTGACGACGCGAATGTCGGCCATCACGCCACGTGCAACGATCCCTGATGACGGGGGGTAGCCGTGAATATTCATAGGTATGCGGTAGCATGGCTACTGCATCCTATAAATACTGCAGCCGCATATGCATGAACCACCATCATCTGCTTTTGTCTCTGATGATGGATTCGAGCAGGAATCCGAAACGTCAGGCTAATAAAGCTCTTGTCCCGGCGATCGTGTCTTCTTCTTCAAGACTGTTTCCTGGGACTCGTCTCTTCGCTTCTATTGGTTAGTTACTATCGGTCATTTAAAATACAACCCCTGAAGGAGGATCTGGGCACTCTGTGATTTCGTACTTCCCCAGGGCAAATGCACTCTAGCGCGAGCTCTCTAATCATAATTTAATTAGATTTCCCGCACCTGATTGTCAGATAACGTGTGAAGTTTCCATGAGGAGAAACCGTCTCCTCGAACTTTGTATTTTTATCCGACACACTGGGTTAGGGCGAAATACTTGGAGGGCCGAGGGTTATTCGGCCTTCAGTAGTACATCGCCTTGGCCCGAAATTTTGTATCGGAAACTTGCTGTAAAGCCAAACTGGAGTTGCTTAAATTGTATCAGTTTCCCTACCCTCCAACGCCCTCTGATGTTTCGGAGTTTGAATTAGACTCAATCAGGTCATAAATGGCATCAAGCATGTAGCAGGTGGTCACATGGAGAATGTCTTATCGGACAAAAGCGAAACCAACGACTGAACGCGCATGGGCATAGCAGCCTCCATCTAAGCACCTGAGGGCACCGCGGAAGATCAGGCCAACAGAGCCTATAGTAGTGCGTGTTGTCTTTTATGCAGGAGAGCAAATAAAAAAGGAGAGAATTACAAGATAATATCTAGAGAATTTCGTTACTACCATCGCCCAAATGAACGACGGGGGTAACACTATCAACTCCTTATGCAGGCACACAGAAGTCACAGGACAATTTTTACGGAGGAGGGGGCGCCAAATCAGTCCAGAGGAAAATGACAGGTGACAAGGTTGTGCACGCAAGTGAATTAGCTAAGGACGCAGCCGACGGCTCTTCTATATCCTCAGTTGTGATTGATTGGCGTCAGATATGAAGTCCGACAGTCAAAAGAGAGCATAGTTGGTAGGTCAGCTTTATGCCGAGACTGCACAACCGTTTGTCAGAAAGTTCTGAACTATTCTCTGTGCTAGTCACTTAATCAAACGCGCGGCTGGTGATCTGTTTTAGCACATCTTTTGGCAGGAGATCCACGGGTGTTGGTTTGACCAATCAACGACACGCGGATGCTGGTTGGGATTAAACATTATGCCGCATGACGTGCGCAGACTGGACTGGTAGATGTAGCCTTGGCTGCGGGGACAGTGAGTCAAGAACAAACGCGTCTTCATATTACCTCTCAGTCTAGACCGAAGGATAAGGTCGCACCTTGAAAATATGAAAGAGAAAAGGACAGGGGAATGAATATATCGTCACCTCGGATGGTGGAGGCGACGTGAATAGGTGAGGGAGTTGGTGTTAGTGATGTACGTGCAGAAGGAGTTGGAGAGTCAAGGGAATTAAGGCAAAGGGAAGCAAAGGGGGTGCATGGGTTTTCCAGATAGGATGTGCGCTGCGTAGAGCAATGGGTCGCTTCATGGACCTCATGCACGTGGTGGTTGCTCCGCACAGTCTTTAACTGGCACCCATTTCTCATTTGTGGGTTATCGAAACTAGTCTCCCGTTAGCGACCATACCGCGATAACCGTCTCGACCCTCGCGCTAAACCACATTCGGGTATTCGGTGTTCTGTGTCTTCACCCCATCCCTACCCCTCCCTACCTTCCTTCCCATCCCCTTACACCCCCCCTTTTCTCTCATTCCCTTCCCTCCTGTCCCCTTCATGCGGAGAGGGTGACGTGCAGTCTCGTAGGCGGCCCAAGCTAACTTTGGCTATCCTCCCATCAAATCAAACCGTGACCTATAGTGCAGTTCGGCAGCCGTCTGGGATGTCTAGCCAAACCCATTTATTGACAATACTGCTTAACTGCTCAAGGAGAAGAAGCTAAAAGATCTGCCCTAAACAAATGATGGGACCACAGCATCTGTACGCAGACCATGGCCCGCAGATGGACGACTCACGGTCGAGACAATCAAACTAACAACAACCCACGTCACTGCCCTCCACCCCACAGGCTGTTAGGGTGATTCCGCTCACACTATCAGCCTGGAATGTTCGCTCTCACTTAGACAGTATGAGGAACAACCGGCCGAAATGGAAGGCGACGCTAATTGCCCCGAGAACTTGCGTGTGGCAAGGTGGACATCGCTGCCCTCAATGAGACCGCTTCTCCGGACAAGGCCAACTGGGGGAGGTGGGTGCCGACTGCACCTTCTTCTGGAGCGGCCACCCAAAAGCAAAACAACGCAACGCAGGCGTCGCCTTTGCCATCGGGGACGACGTCGTAGAACGGCTGCCTTGTCTGCTACATGGCATCAACGACAGACTGATGAGCCTGTACTTGCCTCCTTGGGGATCCAATTTCGACACCATCATCAGCAACTACGCCCCTCCCCTAATGACCAGCTCCGACGAGGCGAAGGACAAATTCTACGAAGACTTGCAAGCACTCCTGGTGACAGTACCAAAATCGAGTAATCTAGTTGTCTATGGTGACTTCAACGCCCGCGTCGAGACAGCCTACGTTGTCTGGAGGCGGTACTTGGTCCCCACATAAGCAGCGGCCGCAACAACGGTCTTCTTCTCCTGCGAACCTGTGCAGAACACCACCTCCTGACCAACACTGTCTTCCGCCCTCCAATGCGGAAGAAGGAAACTTGGACGCACTCTAGATCGCGGCACCTGCGGCTGCTGAACTTCTTTCTCATCCGGCAGCGAAATCGACAGGATGTGCTGGTGACCAAGGCTATCTGCGACACCGACAACTGGATGGATCACCGTCTCGTCATATCCAAGGTGAGGCTCTGACTGCAACGCCGCCCAACACCCGGAATAATCGCCGGCTCCGGAAGAAAACGCCATCGTGCGACTCGGTGGTGTCGACTGACGAATGCCGTCTAATCCACTGCCTTGGACGTGCTCGGACGCGCACGTCGCCAACAGTGGGACTGGCTTGACGACAACGGAGCAGACACTCACAACCTGCTCGTTGAAAAGCACATGCTACACAAGACTTACATGAACCATTGGACCGAGGCAAATAGGAGAGGTTCTTCAGCTCTCGCCGTCCCGTGCATTAACGACTGCGGGATATTCAGGACTCCGAGATGTCTCACATGACCGAAGTAATCCAGGGATACGCTGATGGCAATGAAACTGAGAACTTCTTCGCACAAATCAAGGCGATCTACGATCCCACAACAAAAGGAGCCTCGCCGCTTTTCAGCTCCGACGGAACAACATTTCTTATGGAAAAGTTGCAGATTCTGAAGCGCTGGGCCGAGCACTTCAGAAGCGTCCCTAACCGCCCTTCTGAAGTCTCCAACGTCGCCATCGACCTGTTACTCATGTGGGAACAGACAACAACCTTGACCTTTTGTCTCCTCTCCCAGAAGCAATCAGAGCCGTGCATCAGATCTCCAGAGGGAAAACACCGGGATCCGACACGATCCCGGCCGAATTCTGCAAGCACGGCGGCCCCCGGATGACGGGTCACCCCACACAGTTATTCCGGAAGATTTGGCGCCGAGGACGAGTCCCTCAGGATTTAGAGATGAAATAATCTACAAGCGGACAAGGAACCGACAGATATGCGATAACCACACCATAATTTCACTGCTAAGCACCTCCGGGTAGATCTTCATTAGAAGCCTTTTCAACAACCTCAACGACCATCTCGAACAAGGACTTCTGCCGGACAGTCAGTGTGGATTCCGAAGCCACAGCGGAATAGCCAAATTGGTCTTCGCTCCCCACCGGCTGCAAGACAAGTGTCACGAAATGCGGGCCCACCTTTACACTACCCTCGTAAATGTTATGAAAGACTTCGAGACGGCGAATTGAAAAAACGGCAAAAAATTATGCGGAAATTTGGCTGTCCTGAACGATTTACGCACTTGATGCGTCAGATCCATAATGGGGTGATGGCACGCGTCACGGACAACGGAACCGTCTTCAAAACACTTGCAATGGCCAAATGGAATTAAACGGGACCAAATAATTGCACCCTCATGTCTCATACGATGTTGGTGGGCGCATACCGTGCTGAGCGCCCAAAGATCGGCATCGCTTACAGAATTGACGGTCGTCTTTCCAAAGTCCGGCGTCCACAGGCCCCAACCCGTCTCTCCACAACTATTGCCCACGACCTGCTTTTCGTGACCGAAGCAGACATGCAACGGAACATAGACCCATTCGCCTCCGGCTGTTCCAACTTCAGGCAGACTATCAATAGAGGCAAAACTGTGGTCACGTATCAACCACCGTCCAAAGCTAAATGCAATGTTCGTCACACCTACGTCATCGATACCCAAAGGAAGACCGTGGACAACATCGCCTATTTAGACAACACAATCCCACACCGCATCAAAATCGACGGCGATTTGGCGCATTGGATTTGGCCGGCTGCAGAATTCCGTATTAAATTGCCATGGTCTCCATTTCAACACCAAATTGAAGGTGTAAAAATCTGCTGTCTTGATTTGCTACTGAATATTGCGGAGACCTTGACAGCGTATGAGAAACAAGCGCGGAAACTTGATCAGTTCTTTCTCAGTTGTCTCCAACGGATATTAAAGCTGAGTTGACAGGACAGGGTTCTGGCGAACCAAGTTTTTTAGCGGACTGTAATTCTCAGAACCCACGCCATGCTGAGGCAACTGCAACTACGACAGAGCGGTCACCCCGTGAGGATACACGATGAGCGCCCACCAAGACAACTTTTCTCTGGAAATGTCACCACGACTGCGTTCCGACTAGGTCAAACTCACCGTTACAAGGACACCTTGAAGTATCCCAGAAGCGATCAACCCTAAGACTTGGAAAGACCTCTCACAGGACCGACCGGCCTGTACAAGAGCAGTTAAGACTGGAGTAGCAGCCAATGAAACCTACCAGATCGCTGCTGTCAAAGTCAAAGGCGAAGCTCACAAGTTTCAGGCGCCTGTGATCCGTAACGCCAACCTCCAACCTCTCCCAACATGTCCGCACTGTCAGCAAAAATTTCGCACGCGGATCGGCCTTGTCGAACATCTCCGGACCTAATCCACCAACAGCTGCCAACCCCAACTGCTGCCTCTCCGACTGCCTCTGCTAGAAACTCATGGCGCCCATCCCCACCATCAATGCCCAGCATCCGTCGATCGCCGTTACCACTACAACCACCGCGACGACGACCACCATCCCACAGCTCCCATTTCTGCCACCGAACAAGACTTTCGCGGTGACCCACCGACCACCAAACTTACCATTACCACTCCCACCTCTAGCCAAGTGGACTCGGCCTCAACCAGTCCTCGTTGCGACTGCAAATTCGCCTCACGCAGTGGTCCGGTCTGTCACTTGCCAATCCACCGCACCGCAACCGGCGCATCGGTGTCAGGAGCCTCACATAGACTTGCCGCATCCGTCTTCACTGTTCACATTATCCACGCAATTCATACACCGCAAGCACCTGTTCGGTTTCATGCATATCCACAGTAGAGAAATTTAACACAATATCGACACGCTTATCACACCTTGCGATTCCGCCAACTCTTTCACCTGGAGCAGTGTCAACCCATCGATCAGAGCGCCCACCAGTAGCATCACCACAATGGTATCCGGCTTAATATCTCCCCATCTATCCTGACCACACTGTTGCCGCGCGTTCCCCTGGCGCATCGGTCCGACGGGTCACCTGCGAATGCATCACACAAAGACCGGCGAACCAGTTTCTGGAGCACCAACAGACACCAGAAACCACCGCTTCAATTGCCTACATTGCTCTCGACTGTCAGACCTTCGGCCCATTTGGTCACTTGCTCATTTGTGAAAATCTGCTGAAAATTACCACAGGCTTGACCACATATTCCCCAATAAACACATACACCACGCATAATCATCTCCAAAGTCTTACGCCACCGGAACCTCACACGTAGGTAGGAAGTGTGCCTTTCGACTCCTTTCTCCATGTGACTCCTCTGCTAGATGTGAGATCTGAGTGGCCTACACATTGCGTGTGAAATTCTGGTGCGTGCGTATTGGGACCGAGTCGTGTGTGTGACGTGAACAGACGAGTTGTTCACCCCTCTAAATCTCAACATCAGTTGGGTGACCACTCGGACAATGGGATTATGCACGGTATAGGGTAACCTCTTATTCAATAAGAGATCGACTTAGAGGGATAAAACGTGATAAGTAAATAGAACATGGACTCTTGTTAGTCACCAAAAAGTCTGCTAGAAGTGTGACCGGAATCCGATGTCAAGTGAATGCGGACGCAACACAGGTGCTAGCGCGTGTGGAGTTGATGACCTGTAGGAGCAAGCCAAGGTTAGGGCAACAGCGGTCTGTGAGGGGTGCCAGGAAGATACTCACCTGGACGTGAAACCGGACCAGGAAACGACAGTCCCACCTGATTTTGCAAACGTGGGGTATGCGTCCGGTGTCAGATGGATTGATCATGCTGATGCCCTGAATGGTCAACTTCGTTGAGTAGCCTTGTTTAAATGTTTAAATGAGCGAAAATGCGGCAGAGAGCCTTGACACCAAAGGTGGCATGCTGCCAACGGGCTGTTTTGAAGACAAATGGAGGCGGAGACTCTCGAATATTAGGAGGCGGCCTGTGTGGCTCTTTAGAGGGAGAATGAATGTAATACTGCTGTTTTAATAACTTTCCTCACGTTAATTTTTTTATTTGATTATACGTTTGGGAGAGGTAAGTGAACTGAGAACTGGGGATGTTGAAAGTTGAGCTAGTGGGAAATTGGTGAAAACAAGTATCCTTCTCAAATGGTGGGCTATCGAAGATAGTTGTGCAGCTGATGAAATAGCTGTCGAGCGGGGTAAAATGTTGCTGCGCCTCTATCAAAATTTTTTTTCTGGTGTTAACAACTGAGTTGATCGACGACTGGGAGTTAAAACGGTTAGTGCTCTGAAGATGTCGCCAATTCGTCATGTCCAATCCACGCTTTAGTCAGTGTGCGGTCCACTAACACCGGTACGATCGCGAGCAGAGCCCCAGATGCTATTTATCCTTGGGGCTGTTACTACACGAGATATGCAGACCAAACGGACAGGTGTGGTCATGACTACGAAGTACCGAAAAAAGAATAAAGGAGTCTGCAGGGATGCGTCTTCAAAAAAGCCGCACCCGAAAGGCCACTCGACTTGTGAAGCGAGGGTGTGACATAATTGGCTTGTGGAGTGGTATGTCTTTGAGACAATGTGATGTGCGCGGGCAAGTATTTTCAGCATATATTAAACCAACGATGGTAAAAAATTTATTCTCCAGGTCAGGTTATTGAGGGAAATAGGTTTAAGCCTTTGAGTATACTATTTACAAAGGTAAATTAAGTACAGATAGATTAAATTCGGTCGAAAAATTCAAATGGGCTCATAATAGTATGATAAACTGGGGTATGAGTCTCAGGCGACGAACTGGATAAGTGATCACTTCTGTTAATTTCGGGGCATACACAGGCCACGGAACTTCTTAAAGCCTTGTATCGAAAGTGACACGACAACAAATTTTGGGAGCGCATTATATGGTTTGACCACTCTGACAGTTGTTGGTGGATGTTATCGCGTGCCAGGCCTCGATGGTTTCCGTGACTGCTCAGCTGTTCTCTCGGCCCAGGATTTCG